AGTCTTTTAAAAAAATATGTTTTTATTGGTTTGAGAGAGAGAGGAAGAGAGAAGGACAGAGAGATAGAAACATTGCTGAGAGAGAAACATTCATCTGCTGCCTCCTGCATGCCCCTACTGGGGATTGAGCCTATGTTTTCGGTCGATGCTCAACCCCTGACCTACACTGGCCAGGCAAAGCCTTTATCTATCAATGCAGTTACAGCACTCTGGTGATAAACTCTTTAATTTTTTTAAAATCCAGTGTTGGCATGTGTAGTAATATGGAAACTGTTTTCAAACACATATTCCCCCAAGAGGTTCTGAAGCTAAAAAAAGAAAAAATCCAGTTTATTAGTGGGTGCTCCTGTTCCTGGCCCCCATTTCAGTTAAAGGGTGGAACCTTGTGAAGATAATATCCCACATGTGAATAAACATCCTCTTCAAAATGAACATACTCCTCTAATTTCTTTCAGTGCAAAAGGCGGGCAGGCATTGTTAGCCAGATGTGCTGAACTTTCTTACGAGGTCACATTCTTTAAAAAAAAATATCTGAGTAGCTGCCAGATATGTCACTATTTTCAAAGAGAAAGGCATGACCTAATATTGTTATGTTGTTTAACATTTCTGTCTAATGTTAGGTTAAAAAACACTTAGATATAGGAGTCCAGGTGAGAGCTTGCATATTGGAATTAAAAATTGGACTGCTAAGGGAGGTGCTCATTAGGACTGGTATTTTCTTTAAAAATAAAATAAATATTTTATTTTGGAAAACGCAAACATAAAAAATTAGATTGATGTAAATCTTCCTTTGTACCCATCACTCAGTTAAAACAGTTGCCAATATTTTACAATTCTTGTTTCAAAGAAATCACTCCCTGTTTTCTTCTTTTGTGTCTTGAGTATTTTAATGCAAATTCAAGATAGTATGTCATTTTGCCTATAGATAATATAAAATGCATCTATAAGTGTTGTTTTTCATAAATACTATGCCATTATCACACTTTAAAAATAAGCAATATCATTAAACATCATCTAATACACAGTCCACATTCAAATCCCCTTTTAGTTGACTTTGTTTCTGTTTGTTTTGTTAATCCTCACCTGAGGAAATTTTTCTCATTGATTGTTAGAGAGAGTGGAAGGGAGGGAGGAAGGTGGGAGAGAGAGACACATCGATTGGTTGCCTCCTGCATGTGCCCCAGTTGAGGTGGGGCTCTAACCTGTAACGCAGGTATATGCCTTTGATCAGGAATTGAACCTGTGATCATTAGGTATAACCACTGAGCACACTGGCCAGGGCTAACTGACTTTGTTTTTTATTTATTTATTTTTAATTTAATTTAATTTTATTGATTAAGGTATTACATAGGTG